TGGTACAGGGGCTGAAGAGGATGGATTCGTCGTACATTCGGCGCAGTTTGAGCCTCATCGGTTGTACTTGCTCGAGCTGGAGTACGAAGATGAGCGGCAGCATTACGCAAGCCAAGATTAGGAGCCATCTCACGACGCCCGCGACGAGCGTGGTCACGAATCCGCATAGCTTCGCGAAGATCCATATTGCCACGCAGAACCCGGCGAAGAGCACCAGGTAGTCCAGCTCGTTGAACGTCTCGGGCCTCCATTCGGGGTAGTAGCCTGCACCTGGCCTCACCATCTTGTTGCAAGAAAGGAGATCTCGAATTGACTCACTTGATGATGATGCACGACCTTTTTGGATTTGATTTACAAAAGGATCGATTTGAAAGTTTGATCTTTTTCCTTCGTTTCTGCCGAAGCCAACTAACGAAATTTCAGGAGTACAACACCGCAAACCTCAGTTGTTTAGAGTTCATCCGGAAGAGTGGGGTGGGCCAGAGGGGCTTCGCGTTGGGGCCGAACCTTGCCGGCCAGGTTACTAGTGGAGAGGGAGAGAGTAAGTAATGACCGCCGATAAGAAAGCAAGTTACTACAGTAAAACAGAGTTTGCAAGAGTGGAGTGGAGGTGCGGAGCACGCACGTGGCATGCTGGTACAGAAAATCATCAAAGGCCTCGGCGGTTCTGTCTCCCTCGAACTTGATGGGCTCATCCTGGGTTCAGGCAAGAACGATGAATTAAAAGAGGCCATGCGCCAGTAGTAGTAGTAGCAGTAGTAGTAAAGGGCCAGGATACCTTGTGGTCCGCCGGGAAGAGGTAGATGGTGGGGAAGCCCTTGATGGTGACGCGCGCCTGATCGTTCTCGGTGGAATCAAACTCGGCGATTACGACCTCCTCCTCGTTGGCGAACCGGGCGGCCACCTCTTCGTAGATGGGGATGAGGTCCTTGCAGTGGCCGCACCCTGGTGGATGGGGCACAAAGGCCGTCAGTGGGGAAGCGGCGGGACAGAGAATGAGTGTACGCACAGGGGGCGTAGAACTTGACGAGGACGTCGTTGTCGTTGTCGATCACCAGATCATCGAAAGTGGTTCCCACCACGACCTTGACAGGCCCATCGTTGTTTTCCGGCTCCTCTGCGGACTAACCACCGACCATGAGCAATAACGCCGTCTATGGCGCCTCGAGAGGGAAGATTGAAGGCCTCCAAGGATGAATTGGCGGTGCGCACCTTGGGCTTGCCTTTAATCGAACCGTTCCTTACGCCCTCGATGTAGTCGCGCATCGAGTCCTCGGTCATCTCCGTCTCTTCGGGCACAACGAACACGCGCTCATCCTCGGGGTGCATGACCACTGTGCTCGAGCAATGCAACGAACAACAATCAGGCACTCGCCTCGCACAGCTGCGCTCTGCGGGATTGTTGAGGGTTGTGCGAGGCGATTGGGGGCGTACAGACGGCCGGATAGAACTCGCCGCTGTGCCCCAACTTCACGGCGAAGCTGTACTGCTGCTTGCTGTACAACGCCTCTTGTGTCAGCATGGCGTGGCTGTGGTGCTGCGAGGTGGAGGCAGAAGATGTGAGTGGCCGTACTTGACAAAGACGAAGCCGGTGTCCTTGACGGCGTACTCCTCGGCGAGCTTCGTAAACACCTGGCGGAGCGGCTGCCACTCCTCGGCATTGGCAACATCGGCCGCAACAAGGACGATGTGCTTGACCTTACGCTCGACGATGAGCCTGTCCCACGATCGGGCCGCATTCATCTGATGAACGCGAGACATCACACGCGTCAAGTGTTAATGACTCATGGGACTCAGCAGCAAAGCTTGGGATAGAAGTGGGCGCGTGTATGTACGAAGTAGGGGTGAGCGTGGCCCGCGGCGAATCGAGCGATCTCGTTACCGTCGAACTCGCCAGAGTAGGTGGCCTGTCCGCCGCCCTGTCGGTACATCACCACCGTGTTTACCTTTTGGCCAAGCCTACAGCATTGCGTGTTGTTTGTCCCCAGGCAGTAAGTGAGTGAGTAGACCTAGTGGTCTGTGTGTGTTTCTTAGAACGAGAGAGAGAGAGAGAATGAGGAGAGCTGTACCCTTCGACGAGGCTTGCATTCACAACGTGGACGAAGGTAAACTCCACTGCGTCCTCGATCAGGGAGGCACGTTCGAACTCCAGGCTCTCTGAAGAGTAACAAATACCCCCCCCCCACTAGTGAGCTCTCTATAGTGTATGGTCACAGTGACACGACACAACGACAACAACAGTAAAGTGCTCCGGGGAGTCGGTGCCCACCTTGGCTATCAATGGAGTCGAAGAACCCGACCATGACTGGAGGCTTTTGGGTGTAGGTGGCCAGATTCTCGGCGGTGTCGACGATGACTGTCAGGCCAGTCATGATCTTCTTCATGTACGAAACGATGCCTGTGCATTGAAGATCAAGCGCATGGCGATGAGTGTTCGCGCGGACACGAGACGGCGGACGATGGTGGTGTTGGTGTTGGTGTTGGTGTTGGTGTCGGGTGAGGGGTACCGGCAGCTCTCCGCGGTCCCATGTACTCATGCATGCGCTGGTGGAAGAAGAGCTTGACGGTGGGGAAGCCCTGGACTTGAACGGAATCGCAGAGCTCCTTGTTCCTCGTACAATCGACCTTGGCGAACACCAGTGGGTTGTTCTCCCTGGCCAGCTGAGTTGCAGCTTTCTCGTACCTGCGATGTGACACACACCACACACCACACACCACACCACACACCACACACA